CCCCAAAACCCCAAAACCCCAAAACCCCTTATCAGCATATTAATAAGTATAGTAGAGTTTATATATATTAAATAGCTAAAATTTTCAAGAAATTTACTAAAAAATGTCTTAATTAATAATGACAATAGACTCGGATTCAGATGTGGGTCCAGATGTCTCAACAAACTCTACAAGTAAAATTTAAAAACAATAACACGATAAGAAATAAAAGAAAAACTCAAAGAAGTAGAAATAAGTGATTCCAGGAGTTGATGAGGAGGACATCTAATTAAATAGAGAGTTTTAGCTTTAAGATGAGGGAGATTTTTACAAAGGAATGAAGAATAATCAAACAGCAGGATCGACTCAAAGAGGTGTTGGTGATAGCAAGAGTATCTGGAATTTCTAGGACACGATTAAGACTGATTAGTAGAAATAAAAATACAATTAAGAACTAGCAGAAGAAAAGGAAAAATAAAACTTTAAGAATTTAGAGGAAAAGATTGTCAAAATCCTTGATGACTATGGTTTGACTATCTCTGATAATGAGTAGGATTAGCCGAAGTAAAACTAAGGTCCTAAACCCTAGATTCAGAAAACTGATGCTAAAGTTCATTATGACAAAGAAGATCTTATTTCTTTCCATCAGCTTTTCATTTCAAAGCCACTCGTTAAAGCCTGCTAAGATCTTGAATATGATCACCCTACTGTTATTTAAAGGAAGGTTATCCCAGCTATTATTGAAGGAAATGATATTCTAGCTCATGCAGTAACTGGTAGTGGTAAAACAGCTTCATATTTACTTCCAATTATGGAAAAGTACTTAAGATTAAGAGCATCAAATAAGGCATCTCTTGGTAAACTTAGGTATTTAATACTCTAACCAACTAGAGAGCTAGCTGCATAATCCTATTCAATGTGTTAAAATCTCTCAAAATATCTTCCATAAGATTCATTCAATACCTCAGTTGTCTTTGGAGGTTCATCACTGGGCCATTAAAAGAGGGAGCTTGAAAATCAGCCAGATATGGTTATTGGCACTATTGGTAGAATCCTTGATCATATTCATAATACTAAGGGATTCACACTTGAAAATGTAGATATATTAGTCCTTGATGAGGCTGATAAGTTACTTGAAATGGGATTTAAGGATGAACTTCTTGAAATCCTTAAGAATTGTAGCAATCCAAAGCGATAAACACTTATGGTCAGTGCTACTTTAAATTAAGATATCAAAGAACTAGCTTAGTTAGCATTGAAATAGGCACTTTAGTTTACCGTATCATAGTAATAAAAGCTTGCTGATAATAACTCATTGAGATTAACTTAATACATAGTTAGATTACCTGAAAATCTAGAAAAAATTCCAAAATAAAAATTGGAGAGAAAAGCTAATGAAGATGAAGAAATGGATGAAGAGGAGAGCGAAGAAAAGGAGAATCTATCTGGATCTGAGGATGAATTGGAAGGTGATGACGAACTTGATGAAGATCTTGATGGGGATGAGGACTCTGAGAAAGATGATGATGAAAATAAAGTTGTTGGTAAAGATGACGATGAAGACCTGGAAAGTGAAGATAGTGATCCATATGGAGATGAGGGACTTGACTCAGCTGATGATAGCGATGATAGTGACGATTAGAAGAAAAAGCATAATAAGAAGGAGAAAAAATAGGACTTTAGAAAAAAGAAAGATTAAAAGCCTGTTCATAAATTAGACCCTTATCTAATTAGAAGAGAAGCTACACTCTTGAATCTTGTTAAGAAACATTTTAAACAAAGAGTCATCATCTTCTTCAATGAGAAAGCTTAATGCCACAGAATGATGATTCTGTTTAGAATTTATGGTTTAGATGCAACAGAGGTTCATGGTAACTTAACGTAGTAAGAGAGAATGTAGAACATTGAATTGTTCTAGTCTGGACAAGTTGAATATCTTTTGGCTACAGATCTTGTTGCTAGAGGATTAGATTTGCCCTAGGTTAAAACTGTAATTAATTTCTCATTCCCAACTGAGCCAAAGAGATATTTACACAGAATCGGAAGAACTGCTCGAGCTGGAGCACATGGTGTCGCCATTACTATTTGTAATGATGAGGAGAGAAAAGAAATAAAGAAACTCACAAGAAAATTAGGACAACAGGTTAGTACATACACTCTTTAAACCTAATAAGTCAAGAGAATATTTACAAAAATTAGCGCTCAACTAGATTAGATAGTCAAGGAAATATCAGTTGAAGAAAAAGCAGATAGAGAGATGGAAGAAGCTTTGATGCAAGCAAAAAGAGCTGAAAATATGATTAAATATAAGGATGAGATTATGAACAGACCTAAGAAGCATTGGTAAAAAAGTAATGACTAGAAAAAAGACAATAAGGAAAAGTCTAAGAAAGAGTTAGATTCAATTAAGAATAAATTTGAACAGTATCAAACTCAACAATCAAAGGAAGTGAGGAAAAGGGACTAAAAGATGAAATCTAAGGAGAAAAAGAAATTGCAACCAGGCTAGAGTAAATTTGAGGAAGATGTTGAGCATGATTAAGCAGAAAAAAAGCCAAGTCAAAATAAGGGAGGATAGCAAAGAGATGGTGATAGAAGTAAAACTCCATTTAAAAAGGATTAAAAGCCATTCAAAAAGAGACCTAATGCTCAACCAATTAATCCAAAAATGAATGCCAAATTTGATGAGAAGCATGCTAAATTAAGAAAGGGAAGAAGAGATAGTAAGGTAATGGTGAAAGGTAAATAAAGTGCTGGCACTTAAGAGAAGTAAAAAACAAGAGGTGAAAAGTGGAAGGAACGATCTGAGTAAAAAATGAAATCCAAAGAAGGCACTGGTAAGGGACCTAGTAAAGGTGGAAAGTCTTTTGGAGGCAAAAAAGGTTTTGAGGGCAAGAAGAAAGGCTTTGAAGGCAAAAAGAGTTTTGGAGATAAAAAATTCAATAAAAATAATAATGGAAATAAGAGACAAAAGAGATGAACTTGATTGCAGCTTCACAATGAGTAGAGAAAACAAACTAATTAAATAATATTTATTGATTTCATTAAATCCATTCTATAAATATATAATGAACGACTGGGGTTTTGGGGTTTTGGGG